TAGACACTTTGTGATGAGTCCTGATACCCAGTTTTAGACACTTTGTGATGAGTACCGGTACCCAGTTTTAGACACTTTGTGATGAGTACCGGTAAACAGTTTTAGACACTTTGTGATGAGTACCTGTAAACAGTTTTAGACCCTTTGTGATAAGTACCGGTAAACAGTTTTAGACACTTTGTGATGAGTACCGGTACCCAGTTTTAGACGCGTTTTAATGAGCGCCGGCACCCAGTTTTGAACATGTTATAACGAGTACAGTAACCTTTCTTTTCTAGAAAAAAAAAGTCCTGGGAAGTACAGGCAGCCGGCATGATGTTGACCACGTCGTTCATCGAATACCCACATTGCTATAAACAATAAAAGCCTGTCATCACTTTGTCGAAGCACGCCTGGCGTGTCAGTGGCCCTGGACCCCACCCCCCCCCCTAATTAAAAAAAAATATATGTGGTAAAAGACAGTTGACAGATATGATGACCAAAGCCACTGGTCATGGGCTAGAATACAGGTGGACAAACGTTTTTTAGAATACAGACACTGTCGATGGCCATATAGAACAAAATCCATGATAAATATGACACCCAGATGTCCTCGTCATGATATTTTTGTGGGCATCTACACTTCTGGTCAGACACACCCACCAACTGAAGCCCTGCTGTCAATGCCGAGGTGACAAGTCAGATGAGATAGATGTGATCTTCACATCCGGTTCGTTATACGAGGACATAAGAGTGCATGGGAGTTTACAGCTCGCTCTTCAGGCAGAACAGTTCAAGAAGCCAGCGGTTCCTTCTCCATGACCACCAGCAGCATGACGATGGAGGTGTGGCGGTGACACAAGCTTTCATGTGACTGGAATCACAGGACTATTCCCACGAGTGTGTGCTGAGTGATTCTTTGAGCATGATCTGGCGGGTCGAAGCAGACAGTGGTTTGAGTCATTGCAAAACTCTACTGTGTGTGCAGTCACCTTCAGATTCGTCCCGGGGCATGCAGACTTTGTTGGTAATGAGAGAGCTGATTGCCGGTCCATGGATTACGCAGACATGGTCATTGCCCTTAGAGAGATAGGACATGTTACGAGAAGTTTGGAAGCAACGTGTCTACATCACTGCTAAGAATACAAAAATTTGTTGTAAAATCGGCTCAGCCAAGCATGAGAAGCACACCGTACACACACGAAGAGGGTAACCTGAACGCCTACGGATGTGTCCGGAGTGCTGTGAAGATAGTCTAACTCATAACTCATAACCCTTCTATATATTCCCTATTGTGTCTGTTCAAGCTGGTTATTTGCATAAAACATGTTCAAGGGCCAGCTTATTTAGGAATTTTACACCACCCTCAAGGGCCACTAAAAAATTGTTTGGCCCCCGGGACATAGTTTGTCCACCTGTGGGCTAGAAGAACCACCTAGTGGCAGGGAGCCGCGTTAAGGCAGTGCTTTATCTTATCTGCAAACATGAAAGCCTTATATTAGAAGCCTCATCTTGAAGAATATTTGTAACTATTATAGGCTGATGCATTCTAATATGTGTTCCAGGAAATGCCCTTGAAGAAATGGAGACTGAAATGATGTTGACCACATTAAATATCCACGGTCAAGTGGTCTATACACATTTAAACCTGGCACCATAATCCCGATCTTGGGAAAAGGTTTGCCTAATAGTTGCACTGCTGCATTATTTTAAATGGACACTTTGTACTGAATTAGACTCTTAGACGCATCGTAATGCGGGTATGTCGGGTTTGATCCAAGAGGATTTGGTTTGCGTTGATTTCCACAGTGATACCGAGAGCTGACCGCTTAGAAAGCAATGGCAAGAATTTGCCTAGAAAAACCACAACAGTAAAAACAATGCTAGGGTTGGTTCTGCAACGTCCTGTTAAGGATACGCAACCACTTAACTAAATTAGATTGCGTCATTAAAACTTGAGTTTCTAATTAGACTGATTTAAGAATCTAAATCAAAGGACAACAGACATGCCAAGAGATGCTCCGTCTCCAGCAGCAAATGTCTTAAGGTGTAGATGCTAACTGCTCTTATAGCTCACTGATTATGCTCATGTCGCTCTCTTTCTCTTATACGAGACGCCTTGTTGGATCCATATTTAATTCCTCGTTCATTAATTCCTAAACATGCTGTTGTATCTAACCGGGAGTCTTCTACGAACGTTTCATAGCTTAAGTCCTTTAGAATGCTTCCTTTCTCCAATAAGAGTGCTACTAGTGGCCATCGCTTCTGAGGCAACAAAATCCGCTCTTTCATTCCCTCGCACTCATGCATATCCCGGCAACTATATCCCCGTGAGTCCCTGTAATGTTGACGTGCTAGTACTTGGTTGCCCTAAGCTCGCTAACATTTTCGCAATCTATTTTTTGTTGACCGAGACACAAAAAAACAAAACAAAAAAAAGGCTTCTGAACAATTCATCTCATCTCGATCAAAGTGTGTTTTGTGGTGTCATAATTCTCTACCTTTTTTTTTTTTTTTTTGTCTTTTTTTTTTTTTTTTTTCATTTGGCATTACTGAGTTGCTAAACGATTGTCTTATAGTATTGTCAAAAATCTGATTAAGCGTGATGTCCACAAATACAGGGTAAAGAAAGTTCTATATAGTTCCAATACCTTTATATAGAAGAGGGTCACGTACAGCCAACTCAATGGATAGAAATAATATGTAAACTGTAGAAATGTGGCTTCACAGAAGGATAATAAGAACATGAAAAGTTAAGCAGCACAGCGAAGATGTCTTGAAACCGACAAAGAAAACGGGTCACCTACGACAGAAGTTGCCAATCCAAATTTTTTGGGTACGTCATAAGAAGAGAATGGGGGGACGTCTTGAGAATAAGACATTTGATGAGAAGGAAGGTAGGGGGAGACATCAAGAAATGTTCAAAACATTAGGCGTCAAGGTATGGAAAGCTCATTTATCATAACTATTGGCAGTAGGAAAACAGAAGGCGGCAGAAAAGTCATGATGGCTACCACCACGAAGCATGCATCTCGAGAAATGAAGCGTTAGATATTCGAAGTCTAGAAAAAGTGACGGTTATGTGTTTTGTCATACAGCATGGAAGAACATCCGGTTAAGGAAAAACAATAATAATAAGGAAAACATAAGTTTATGGTCACACGTGAGGACATTCAACACACCTCATCGACTACCATAAAAAAAAAGTTTTTATTTTTTTCAGATGTAGTGTTTAAAATTCCAGACAAAGCAAAAATTTTATGTTATGGCATGTGCCATGCAGAATTATAGAAACACGCAAGTTTCTTCCCACACACACACAAAACATTATTTCTCACGTTCTTGACATGTTCCAAAACTGACTGTTTCCGCTGGCACTTCATCGATGAATTCTACATGTTTTGTTTGGCGTTTTCAGCCAAACAAAAATAAGAGTTCTTTTTAGCTAGCTATATATTAGCAGTGTCAAACATCGACATTTGCTAGAACTAATGAACAGAAAACCATAACAGAGATGGCATGCCTTATGAGAGCTGCCGGGGTAAGAGAAACAGATATACTAAATATATTTTAAAAAATTACAAGACAAGGACTGAAACCAGTTATACAGCCCATGGAAAAGCAACAAATGAGATGGTTTAGCCATTGACGAGAATCTCATAGCATCCGTTTCCACAGTGAGTCACGCTGAAGAAAAATAATGAATATGCAGCAAGGAGAAGACTTGGCAAAAGATGGAACAACAGCATCAAGGACAACCTTAAAGACATGAAGAACAATTTATACATCGCATCGGAAAGAGAACATAGATGATCATTGCATTTACCCTCGATATTTCCTACCTACGCACCCACAAACATATCATACCCATTCCTACATAATACTGTAAAACACGTTTGACTGGTGTGTAGCCAATTCCCCTCCCCCCCCCCTTCCCCCCCCCCCTTCCCATAAACACGTTACACTTTGTCTACATGACAGTCTTTACAACATGTTCGAGTACGTACTAACACACATGTCACGTAACAGGCCAAGTCACCCCTTTATCTTTGACTCGTCTAGATCCCGTCACCTCTTCGCAGATGATGCTAAGTTTAAAAATAGACTTGTCATTATAGGTATATAATCCTTCTTTGGTAAATATAGGTCTTTAAGTCGAGTTAATTACTCTTATATGTCCCAATTCTCTTCGGAACGGTATAGTTTTGAATCCATAATAGTAGATGAGAGATTCATTGATAATTATTGCCAAGAGTCCTATTGGCATATCACCGCCTGGGGCGGATGAATTACCCCCCCCCCCCCCCTTTTTTTTTCTCCTTCTTGGAAAGAGACGTTTGTGTCAGAATTATTCTCGATCAAGTCTCCATCGTGGAAGGACGATTTTTTTGGCCTCTGTGCTTATTTCTGATCAAAATGAAGAAACAATAAAGTTTCCTAGAAGAATCCAGAGCTTGGAATTTTAATCGCCTTGGAGACCAGATCGACAATCATCATCCATCCACATCACCAGTAATCCTTACGTAATCCATCACATGCACAAAATCACACCCAATACACGACACTCTATACCACACATGACACTGTATATGGCTCACACAATCCGCCCATAACACTCTATACCACAATTATGAGCACTGCCAAAACAAACTCCCACCCCCCACAGACACACGTCCTCCAAACACCCCCCCACACCCCCCGCCCCCACAAACATACGCACTACAAACACACCCTACACACGACACTCTATACCACACATGACACTGTATATGGCTCACACAATCCGCACATAACATTCTATATCACAATAATGAGCACTGCCAAAACAAACTCCCACCCCCCACAGACACACGTCCTCCAAACACCCCCCACACACGACACTTTATACCACACATGACACTGTATATGGCTCACATAACACTCTATACCACAATTATGAGCACTCAAAAAAAACACCCCTCCCCCCTCCCCACAAGCAAACACGACACTATACACGACACTGTATATGGCAAGTCACCTACCACTCATGAAGTTGTAGATGAGCGGGTTCACGGACGAGTTGATGTAGGGCAGCAAGTGAATGACCAGCGACTGGATGTAGAGAGCTTCATTGTTTCCCTCGTAGTTGACCACCTCGAAGTATCTGAGAAAGAAGGTAACAGACAGCTTTTGGTAACAATACTTAGACATTTATTGGCGTGTCATATCTATTGAAGATATAAAAACAGTAGAAACAAGAATTACAAAAGCAGCAACAACGATAGTACCTGCAACAATAACAAACGTAATAACAGCACTAAAAACACCAACAGCAGTAGTAACAAAAACAGCAACAGCAACAGCAACAACAACAGTAGCAGTAACAAAAACAACAGCAGCAGCACTAACGACGACAGCAAGAGCAACAGCAACAATAAAAACAACAGCAGCAGTAACGACATTAGCAACAGAAGTAACGAAAACAGCAACAATAACAACAACAACAGCAGCAGTAACGACAACAGCAGTAACGTCAACAACAAGAGCAACAGCAGCAATAACGACAAAGGCAACACTAATAACAACATCAGCAATAACAAAAACAACAACAGCAGCAGTAACGACAACAGCAAGAGCAACAGTAACAATACCAAAAACAACAACATCAGCAGTAACAAAAACAGCTGCAGTAACGACAACTGCAAGAGCAACAATAACAACAACAGCAGCAGGAACGAAAACAACAAAAGCAGCAGTAGTAGCGAAAAGAGCTATAGCAACAATAACAAAAACAGCAGCAGTAACGACAACAACACTAGCAGTAACGACAACAGCAAGAGCAACATCAACAATAACCACAACAGCAGCAGAAACGACAACAGCAACAATAACAACAACAGCAGCAGTAACAAAAACAAGAACAGCAGCAGTAACAACAAAAACAGCAGTAACGACAACAGCAAGAGCAACAGCAACAATGTCAATAGCACCAACAACAGCAGTAACAAAAACAGCAGCAGCAGTAACGACAACAGCAAGGGCAACAATAACAACAAGAGCAGCAGTAACGAAAACAACAACAGCAGCAGTAACGACGAAAACAGCAACAGCAGCAGTAACGAAAAGGGCAATAGCAACAATAACAACAGCAGCAACAGTAACGACAACTGCAATAGCAGTAACAACAACAGCAAGAGCAACAGCAACAGCAACAATAACAACAACAGCAGCAGCAGTAACAAAAATAACAGCAGCAGTAACGACAACATAAAGAGCAACTGCGACAATACCAATAACAACAACAACAGCAACAATAACAGCAGCAGTAACGAAAAAAAAAACAGCAGCAGTAACGAAAAGAGCAAAAGCAACAATAACAACAGCAGCAGCAGTAACAAAAACAACAGCAGGAGCAGTAACGACAACAGCAAGAGTAACAGCAACAAAAACAACAACAGCAGCAGTAACAAAAACAACAACAGCAGCAGTAATAAAAATATCAACAGCAGTAACTACAACAGCAAAAGCAAAAAGCAGCAAAAGAAAAAAGCAGCAATTACAACATAAACAGCAGCAGCAGTAGTAACGACAACAGCAAAAGCAACAGTAACAACATAAACAGCAACGACAATAACAAGACTGGCAAGATTAGCATTACAGACATAGCAGCAATAACAACAAATACAAAGAAAATGCAATAACTAAACTGCGCATAAATTACACTAAAGGACAGAATGAAGTTGTTTGGCCATCTAGTAAGAATGCAGCCAACCTAACTATATAATATCGTCTACAGGAGAACATATGGACGAAAGGCGAGAGAAAAACCAAAGAAGAGATGAATAGACGGCGTAGCTGAAGCCCACAAACATAGGAACAAAATCATCATATAAGCAAATCCAGAAACACAAGACAAAGAGGAAAAAAAACACTGGACACAGGGCTACTTCCGGGTAACCGTGCGACAGAAAGAAAAAGAGCAATAACAACAACTAGAGCAGCAGCAACAACAATATAACACGTACACACGTACACACCCAAACAAACACACGAACACACACACACACACACCCACCCACCCACACACACTTGAAACGTTTGTTATAAATGCAATTACTTCAACGTGCCATTCACACCAACATGCAAACACACATATACGAACACCAACATGCACTCACATATTGACAGATAAACATCAATTATGCACATCACAGATTTCTGAAACAAGTATAGACACACAACACAAACACACACATACAAACGCGCACACACAGACTAGCACACACAAACATACACAGCTGTGTATGCCCTCAAATTGTTTATTTAAACGTTTACACATCAACAAAACATCCACGTAAATTTAATCAAACATGTCAGACGTATGTATGTGGTTCATTCTTTCTTCCCCCGCTCTTCCTCTCTCTCTCTCTCTCTCTCTCTCTCTCTCTCTCTCTCTCTCTCTCTCTCTCTCTCTCTCTCTCTTTCTCTTTCTCTCTCTCTCTCTCTCTCTCTCTCTCTCTCTCTCTCTCTCTCTCTCTCTTTCTCTTTCTCTCTCTCTCTCTCTCTCTCTCTCTCTCTCTCTCTCTCTCGTATAAGCTAGCACATCATATTTACTAACCCAGTGAATGGTTGTTGATGACTATACTAGCGTATCAGTCAACAAATCAACACAATCTCAGTTAATTAAATAAACAATGATGACTAAACCAGTCATCTGAGCAACAACAACAAAAATTATTAAATCAACCAGTCAAACAATCAATCAAATAACTGAATAATTAAATAGCTGATGGATCAAATGCTCATGCAACCTGTTAAACAGTCATCAGACAATCAAACGAATAATTGAAGAATGCGTCAAACAAATGGTTTAAATAATGCGGACATAAAAACAATGCATTCCACACTTAATTGCCCAGCACATGACACTGTATCCCGTCAAATGCATTACCACAAATCCACCAACATTTAATGAACAACAACAATTACTCTTTGTCACCTCAATACACAAATCACAACTGTATGTGCGTCCGCCCAACTGACATTTACAACAGGACATCATTTTCAATCGAACAATTATTGTTTCAGCTATTCAATCATAAGAGGCTAGCGTGGTTTACCCATCAGTATTGGAACTCTGCGCTGGCAGTTGAAGATGAGGACGGAGCACGCATAGAAATGCCCCGAGTGCTGTGATGTCAATTCTTGACTCAACTCAACTCGTTTAGCCGCTAGAGGTTCGTCTGCTGATACAAAGGACGTGGGTCCTGACGGAGCCGGACCTTTTTCAAAAATGACCTTGGCTCCCGAGTCGACTTAACCTTAAATGGGTACTAGTTACTGTCATGGGAAGTAAATACGGTCGGCATACTGTTGACCACATCACCCGCCGAGTGCCAGATAATCTATATCTAGATCTAGCTCTGTTTCCAATACTCCTGAAGGCGTGGAAAAGGGTCATTCTCTTCTATCTAGGGGGCTGCCTGGTCTAGAGGCATGGTGACCACTTATATTGCTAGAGGTTCCGGGTTCAATCCCCGGTAAGGGCTGGGATTTGTTCACGTGGACTTGGACTTCTGGTATGTCCCCTGGTCTCTGGATATAAGATCGGACGCCCGTGTGCATTGTTGCGCACGTAAAGAATCTCTTGGCAGTTGGAAATCGAAAAGAGAAGCCTAAAGGCGCTGCCTGGGACAAAATTTGGAGTTAAAAATGTACCCGAAGTATTTCAGGATCCTCGCCAATGCTACAGAGCCTGTGCACTGTGCTGAGCTTCTTCGGACTCAGACTTGAGTTAGAAGAAAGAACAGAGCACTTATGGGTTACTACCCGTGTGCCATGATGGTTGATCCGTTGTTCAGACTTTAAAAATATCTTCTCCCTTTTCAATAAATAGGTCATAAATAAGCCAGCCACTTTTCAGTTAACCAATTAACCAATTACTCTACCTTAGCAGGTTCATCAAGTGTACGGGCATATAGCAGAGACCAAAGACAATCACTACGGCGATGAGCATCCTGGCAGCTTTCCTCCTGGACACGATTTGCTCATCCTGGGCGTTCCTGTTGCCATCCAGCATGGGTTTCCTCCCTGCAATGTAAACAGAACACATTCACCTGGCGGCAGGTTTATCGGTTGTCCAGAAATCTTACTGACAAACATCACAAACTGCTGTGACCTGAATAGGCTGTGGGGGTGGGTCGCTCTACAGAGCTTTAACTTACGTCATAATCTACACCGAATCGACAGGTCAGCATGTTGATCGTTGTGTATATACTTACCTCACAATCTACAGCATAAGCGTCCCAGCCTGGAGACCAAGGCCCTCCTATCCTCCCTCCCCACGCCCCAACCAATTAAAAATAAACCACATTTTAGAAAATTTCAAGGGAGCTGACCCCCTACTCCCCCCCCCCCCCACACACATATCACCTCCATGCCTGGAAAATGTGCAGGGGCTAACCTTCCTACCCCCGTCACTGCTGAACCATATATAGACAATGGCTTATTTCTGTTTGTATATTTCATATTATTCCACAATAGTATATCTGCTATTCAGCATAATCTATTTGATATTAATTAAATTTGAAAAAAAATTGTAGTTGTTGTTTTATTATTAATGTGTACTTAAACAAGGCCAAGCTCTTCTCCCACCCGAAAGAAAATTATAAAAGTACTAAGCCCAAAGAATTATTAGTCGTAGAGCGCCTGATCTGCAGTGCCATCATTAACATCAAGCGCCTTTCCGCCTGGCGTGGGCGACCATGCCTCTCCACAATCTGAGATCCGCAACTGCGTGTATCAGTTATTGTGTTGACACCCTTTCATGCCATGACAAAAGGTTGTCAAGAATCTTCTGGTGCTGTCTTTCAGATCTTTCCAGTGTTCACAACATGTTCCATTTTCCTTCTTCTCATAACATGATCAAACATGATGACTGTCTCTTTCTGAGGTTTATGATTAGTTGTCTTCAAGCAAATATAAATGTGGTGATGGTGATAATGAAAAAAAAAGAAGAAGAAGGAAAAGGGAGAGAATGAAGAGGAGGACGAAGAGAAGGAGGAGAAGCAGAAGCATAAGCAGCAGAAGAAGAAGAAGAAGAAGAAGAAGAAGAAGAAGAAGAAGAAGAAGAAGAAAAAGAAGAAGAAGAAGAAGAAGAAGAAGAAGAAGAAGAAGAAGAAAAAGAAGAAAGATCAGCAAAAAGAGAATACTCTCTCTCTCTCTCTCTCTCTCTCTCTCTCTCTCTCTCTCTCTCTCTCTCTCTCTCTATCTATCTCTCTATCTATCTATCTATCTTTCTCTCAATTCATATCTCTCTATGGACTGTGAACATATACTTTTACATTTACAGACAATAAAAAAACAAGCCCTGCACCACGCTTACAAGTAGAAAATAAGGCAGTTAAGTCATTTTACAAAACAGGATTGTTAAAACAAAATAATCGTTACATTTAGACACACACACACACACACACACACACACACACAAATCATTAATTCATAATTTTCCCTGTTTACATCCTCATGACCTAACTGCGTGAACTATACGAAACAGACACGTGGACAAATAATGACAAACGTAGAGTGAGTACACAAAGTTAGAAGTGTCATTTTTACCGGCTATTTTAGACCCGACAACGACCCCGGGTATTTCATGTTTCCACAGGACCGATGCGATGTGCGTGTACGTCATTGCCATCAGGATCATGGGTAGCACGTAGAACAACACTGCCAGAACTAGCTGGTAGATTCCTTGATTGAGAGCATCCCATGAGGGTCTGTCGAGAGAAGATTCGCATAAGACAACTCCACTCGTTCGTTTCTGATCAGGGCAACCCAGGGCAAGAAAATGGATGTAGCTGCGTGTGTATGTTGCCGTATTATAACATATGAGCGTGACTGCGAGCAAATATATCTGTTTATCTAACAGAGGCTAAGCGACATTCTAGACTTCTGGGGAATGACATCAGCTAACATAATATATGTGAACGACAGGTCAGCCACATTCATGAAGTCGCACAGAGTTTTCTCCAAAACTTTATTTATTTAAGTGACTCCAAAGATTGTCCAGTGACCGCCACCTTTATTTAACAAGGGATATTCTACAATAAATCACTGCCCGCATTATAAAGAGCCTGACACTAAAAACTTGCACTGTGTATAGTGTTAATTCCTATTGTTAGAGTCAAAGGTTGAACAGAAACACTACTGCCATCATTAGCTGACCTTGTCAGGATCTTTCTGAATGGCGGTTCTCGACCTGTAGGTCGCGCCTTTTTTTAGGGTCGAACGACCCTTTCACAGGGGTCGCCTAAGACCATCGGAAAACACATATTCACTATGAAGAAGCAACGAAAATACTGTTATGGTTGGGGGTCGCTACTACACGAGGAACTGTATGAAAGGGTCGCGGCATTATTAAAGTTGAGAGCCACTATTGTAGATACATCAATCGATTTTGTTTTCCCGAACTATTTCGGTTACAAGAATTGCTTGACCCTGTCAACAATGTTTGCCTTTAAGGTGTATTTCTCTAAGATTCTGGAAACGAAAATAGTCCTAGTAAGACAGATTTGGAAAATAGGGAAAATATAGAAGAGTTTAAGTATTCAATCTTTAATGGTTAGAATCTATAAGGAGAATTTGAATGCGCACTATCCCTCCTTTCATGATCACAGCCTTTTTAATTTATAAAGAGATATACAGTGGTACCTCGGTAAACACCTTTCCACAAACTTACCCCCCACAAATTAATTGCCCAGAAAATGTATAAGATAGTGAGGAAGGCGTGGTTGGGGAGGGAGGGGTGTAATGGGTGAAGAGGTCTGGGGCTCTGAAGTCCCACCCAAATTCTGCGTAGAAAGGCGAATCCACTGACAAGAGCACGGACAAAATGCGAATTCCGTAGCTCTAGCAATGATCCCCAAAGATCTCTGTAAAAATTGCACTCGTGAACTGAGCGACGCAGCTGCGAACCGAACACACTATCTTAAGAGGGCAAGGCAAACGGCTTGACCACTTCGCTGCTGTGCCTAGGTGGTAAGGTTGGCGTGGTTTGGGGTGTGGCTAAGCTTCAGAATGCGGCTACTTAGGTAAAGGTGCATGGATGTTCTTTTTCGTCGCGTTCACCGGCTGTAAACTCTGGCGGAAAGTTCTGGTTGTTCATCAACCTCTGGACTTTGGACTAATTCCAGAACCCAAATGTTGCGTGCACATCTGTTTTACAGTTCCTTGTCTCTCAGGCAGATGCATTCCGACTTTGAACGAAACCACTAATTAGTCGACTCTTACGACATGCTTCGTTTGGTAGGCAGTGGGTCTATTCTTGTTTTTCCCACAATGGTGACCCGGAACCCATACGGGAAACAGTCAGTCATGAATGTATACCACGTTTCACCAATCAGGGTTTTCGTTTTTATGTTCGTATGTGCAGGTCGAATTTTAGTGCCCACATCTTATTTAAAAAATATAATTAACACACATAGGTTAATTACCTTTCATTTATTTGACATTCAGCCTAACAGACACCTCGCTAGAGGAATCAATGAACTCAAATACTTTCATTGAGTTTGATTCAATGAATTCTCAGACTGAATGAGTACGCCAACTTTATCCACATTGTAGTAGATACATGTGCTCAAGTTAAGTGGGCGTCTGTTGCTTAGGCGTTTCGAACGCTCTTCGTAATGCCACTGCCGGGTTCGATTCCAGCTGCTGATGGTTTGTCTTGCGATAGTTTCGACAGTGATACAGAGAGCTGACCGTTAGAAAACAATGGCAAACTACTGAACGTTAAATTTGCTAAGTAAAACCATAACAGCCAAAAGAAAAATGCTGGCGTTGGTTCTACAACGCCCTGTAAAGGATAGGCAGCTAACTTTAAACTCAAGGTGAGGTTGTCAGACAGAATGCGTATTTAGTGCTCATTATCAGGAATATGCTTCTTCTTAGCGTTTACCGGCTGTAACTTCCGACGTAAAATGTTGGTTGTTCATCCATTTCTAAACTTTGACCTTGTTCAGAAACTTTCAGTTGTACAGATCTGGCCCATTTGTATGCAGACGATTGATTTCTTGTCTCTCAAGCAGGTACATGCCGACTTCTAAGGAAACCCTTTGAAATTAAGGTTTGCTTGTTGATTCATGTAAAAGAATTTCTTTGTTTGAGTCTGATTAATTAAATACCTAGACTAACCCACAATTTTACTGAATAACACATATTTGTTGACTGAGTTAGAGTTGAATGTTGAATTAGGAATTGACATCACAGCAATCAGAACACCCCCATAAGCATTCCGTCCCCATCTTCAGCAGTTTAAATTCTATCGTTTATACAGACTATGTCTGCAATTACCATAGTCTCTGCTAATGCATTTCCTTGCCTATTTTTCCCACTACTGTCCCATGCTCTATTCTCTCTATTTACTCGTCTTCTCCTCCTCCTACTCTCTCCGTTGCCACATGAAGATGGTATCAAGCACAGAGCACGCACTCCATAGCTCCGGCGATTATTCTTTTTATTATTTTAAAAAATAAATCCTGTGTTAGAGTGAAATACCTATTGTAAACGACTGACTGGTGGTGGAGAACGTTGTGATGGCTGGATAGAAAGAAGCAGAAGAAGCAGAGGCCACCCAAGAGAAACGATCGATGTTTAACGGCGTGAAGTGACGGCACTGATGTATTTTTTCAGTGTTAAAAGTTAGTTGCGTATCCTATACAGGGCGTTGTAAAACGAACCCCAGCATGTTTTTGCCGTTGTGATTTTCCTAGGCAAGTTTACGTAAAGTAGTTTGCCATTCCTTTCTAGACATCATCAGTGTAATTTTTTCAAAATGTCAAGGACCAATATCTATGGAGCAGTGATGAGGCGTAATCCGTTCGCATGTGTACAAGTACGCACTGGCAGGTAACGATTACACTGGAGAGGGTATCACGTGACATTTTTCTCCTCGTCTCTTCTCTGTCTGGAGAATGCGTGCACAGCTGTTATCAAAATACTTGCAGTTTTCGCTGGTAGTATTCACATGTTGTACTTTCTTTATGAGTAACGTAAGCGTCCGCCGAGCGGTTTTTCACTATGCCTATACTGTTAACAAGCGATAGGCGCTCAGCGAGACGTCAACCGAGCACCGTGTTTGTAGTAATTAGTAATAATAATAATAATAATAACGAGTGAAATAATGAAATGTTCTATTGCAATGGAAAGTGTTAGCGGCGATTAGAGCTATTACATGCAGGAGTCGCCACTGTTGTGGAGTGACATGAGCGCCTCTACGTCGCCTGACAGGACACACGATGATGATGGTGACTGGCACTCATACATGAGGCAGAAAATAGAGACAGAAGGATGTACTCGACAACACTAATAACGATTTATTTCTGTATACTCTTTGAGTTTGATTCACTTAATACTCTTACCTGCACATGGTCAACAGAGTTGAAGAAATCCGATCAGGAAAGTGGTAGGGAAATGCTTCGGCTACGACACCTTCAGGGACCGCTGTGAGGATGGAGACTACCCAGATCAGTACAATGATCTTCCTGGCCCTCGACAGTGTGCTCTTGAACTTCAGCGGGTAACAGATGGCCCACCAGCGCTCCACAGCAATAGCGCTCAGTGTCAGGACAGACACACAGACGGAGGTAGTCTGAAGGTAGAGACGATTTCATAGACATAGGTTATTGTTAATGAAATAAATTGTATAAAGAAGACTACATACAAATAATAATTCTTTGTGAGATAATAACTCCACTGACAAGACTTCACACTTACTGTCTATGTGAACCAATATAGTACAAACTGTCTCTGTTGAAAAGAAAAGACTATTATAGTACAGATAGTTATTGTGGAAGAGATAACAATGTGGTATAAGCTGTTACCGGTGATGAGATTTTAATGGCACTGTCAACAAGTGTAGATACTAAATATAACAATAATGCCAATTATACATATTAGAGATAGCAATAACAACAAGTATGAACAACAGAGATAACAGTGACCATAACAAACAAATAGCAAGTGTAGATAATCTATAACAATGACAAGCATATATTGTATAGATACTAATAGCAAAAAGTATAAACTGAAGAGATAACAAAAAAGAAGTATAGAGTACTGAGATAACAATAACAACCAGTATAAATTATAGAAATAACAATATCAAAAAATATAATTTATAGAGATAACTATAACAATAAGTCTAGGTTTTAAAGATACCAATAATAACACGAAAGAAAAAGAAATAACAATAATAACATGTAAAGAATAAAGAGATACCAATAATAGCAGGTAAAGAATAAAGAGATACCATTAATAACATGTAAAGAATAAAGAGATACCAATAATAACACCTACAGAATAAAGAGATACCAATAATAACACCTACAGAATAAAGAGATACCAATAATAACACCTACAGAATAAAGAGATACCAATAATAACACCTACAGAATAAAGAGATAACAATAATAACATGTAAAGAGTAAAGAGAAACCAATAATAACATGTAAAGAATAAACAGATAACAATAATAACATCTAAAGAATAAAGAGATACTAAAATAACATCCAAAGAATAAAGAGATAACAAAAATAACGTGTAAAGAATAAAGAGATAACAATAATAACATTATTATTATTATTAGGTATAGACAATCATGTGCAGCATACCCAGCAGCCACGGTGACATAGTGGTTAGCAGGTGTATAGCAATTTAAAGCAGTGGCCATAGCCGCCCCCCCCCCCCCCCCCACCATACTATACACACCCTCTTCCCCCCTTCCCTCGTCTGACCCGAATCGGTACATATCATATTTCATAGTTCATGTTGGAGATCATCTTCATAGCACATCGAACATGACCATAAGTGCTCCGATCTCCTCCTGAGTATGTCTGTAAGTGTTTTTAGGCCAACAACTCCCATTCTGTTCTGGTTTAACGACGGGTAGCTCCTACGTGGTTTTCCTGTCTCGCAGCTCCAAATGGTACACCCAAGTCTATTGTGTGAAAAATCATTTTCCACGAAACAGAAAGCCTCACAGCGATGAGTGCCTCGAATGGCATTGACGATGTCTCTCTTGTCTAAAGAGGGCCCATCCCTGATAGTCGCACTGCTAGCCAAAGCATCTGCTGTCCCAGCATGCCCTGGGACAAAAGTAAAGGTGATTTCGCAAATTGCTGGGTGCTGAATCAAATGAGGTCACGGTTTTCGTGTGTACTTCGCAGTGATCTTCTTTATGTACGTATGATTCGCTCACCTAGTCTCATCAAATGAGCATCTGATTATACTTTTCAAGCAGCAAATCCTTCGCAAAAAGTAACTTATCTACAACAGTCAGGCTCTGTCATTAGTTTCATTGTCTTATACACCCGTCCAGGCAGCTTTTGTCCAATGATAGGTTCGTCGAGCACAGTTGTTTTACAAGAAGGACAATCCAGTACTGTAAATTCTAAACAATTCCTACATTTAACTTGCCAATTTATGTGACATGTTTTTCCCTTCTTAGCTATTTTTCTTATGTACAGGTCATTCTTCTTCTTCATGATCGACCGTATATCTTAGGAGAAAATCCCACCTATACTATAAACAAGTTTCATAGAATTGTCTATAAAGTACAAGCAGCTAGAAATGGACATGGTCACCGCACCTCATGCTTACGGGGAATCCTAACACTTTAGTTCCAGGAGCAGTATGTGCAGTGAGATGGTCGTTGTCTTTACCATAAAGCAGTAGCGAAGAGGCCTAGTAGTTTTGAAGAACTCTTCATAATAGTAAGCATTAAAACTTTTTTCTGCCGCCTGCACACTCCGCCTCCCCCACCCCACCACCACCACCCGTTATTAGAGCGCATGCTCTCAACCAGCTCGCGTAGACAACAAGTTAAGAATCCTAGTCATGCCACTAAAACAGTGGGTAGATGACTCTAGAAAAATATTTTGCAAACGAATCGTTAGTTAGTGGGTGATGTGGTCAGTGCACCTCATTATGCTTATGTGGAAATGTAACACGTCAGTTCCAGGAGCAGTATGTGCAGTGAGATGGTCGTTATCTTTAAAATAAAGGAGTAGCCAAGAGGCCTAGTAGTTTTCTCGATCTTTTTTTATTAGTAAGAATGGAAGTTTTTTTTTGGCCGCCTGCTCACTCTCAACCCCCCCCCCCCGCCCCCACCACCCGTTATTAGAGCACATGCTCTCAACCAGCTCGCGTAGACAACAAGTTAGGAATCCTAGTCATGCCACTAAAACTGTGGGTAGATGACTCTAGACAAATATTTTACAACCGAAACGTTAGATAGTGAGTGATATAATCAACATCCCAAATGTCGCCTCAACTAACAGAACCTTTCTCGGTACCAATTTTAGGTTGGGTCAATCTACTAACCCTAGGTCATTTATAAGAATACTCCTTTATGCGAATTCGAACTCAAAGACTTTGAATCGGCAGGCAAGTGTCTAACAACCTTAATACCCGTTTAGAATTTGGTAAGGTCTAAAACACTGACTTGGCTGTCTGTATCGGCAATGAGTTAGTTCAGACTGGCAACATTCATTAGACTACTACTACTACAGTACCACTAGTATAGTACTAAAAGATGTCGGGAGATGTGAACCAGCGTCATTGCACACGGTTACAAACCACAAGTGCTCTGCCACCAGTACAGACAGCTGATAAGCAACTGTTCGCCTGTGTCGCCGTCCGCACGCAACTCCGTAGCTACAGCGACGTTCCTCGATTTACTCTAGAGTGTTAACTCTGGTACCCATTTTCTAGAGGCTGAGTGAACCTCGGGCACCGCCCGGTTTCGAACACCGGCTGTGGGCTTCAGCGAGTCGCAGCTGGATTTGAAAGCTAGTCTCCTATCGACCACGCTAACGCGGCCCCCGGGAGTGGAAGAAAAAGTCAGGACAAGGAAGGCATACATAATGCTTGTTCTGAGACGCTGAGGTGAGTCAGACACGATAAACTGCGGGTTGGACATTGGCATTAAAGAGGACCAGCATGCAGAAATCGATTGTCAGGCAAAGAAAGATGTTCAGCCAATTTCAACTGCGTACAGTGAGCATTCAGACAGAGATGGTTGCTGCATTGGCTCCGATCATTGTGCTAGGATGTTGATACGAACAAGTAACAAATATCTTCGATGAGTCTTTTGTTACATCCACGGCAAACCCTGAACAAGGAGATCAGATAGCTTAGTCATCCTCTTGCTATTATTTTCTGCCTTTTATTCTGTCCTTCTATTAGAGCAAAGACCTCAGATACCCTCACACTTGACCAACAGGTTGACAAACCATTATACTGCTCTACAGAGACTATTCAATGAAGGAAATGCTTGTGGTTTAATTGCTGACGACAATAAAACGGCATGGATAATATTTAGTGAATATAGATTTCATAGATAACAACGTGCAACACATACGAGAATAATTAAACCGAATGGCTGTACTTTTTGTGAAGATACTCGTCAAATAAACCAGCGGCGACAAACATGCATGAAGTATAATGATATATTTTTAGCATCTGCATTATAATGATCCCGACATAAAAGCATTTTGTTAAATTTTTGTATCTTCTTACAAAGGAAGCCTTTCTGCAATCAGATATGGGCTGTTAAAAATCTACAGGCCGTGTAAAATATACGGGGTATCAAATGGATTCTAAAATCAATATTGTGATCAAACTTGCAGCCTTTATTAGAGCACACCCCAATCTAACCATCATCCAGATTTTTTGCTCTTTGAGCAAATGCACTAGAGCTTTGAGAATCGAACTCATTTATGTTGACGCAGATTGTAGATTGGCAGGGAGTTTCAGCTAAAGAGCTATTCTAAAGGGATCATTAGAATGATTATTACACAGTATCTTAAAGAACATATTACGAGATTGTTAGAGATCCCCGTGGCTAAGTGGGTAAGTCGTTTGCCTTGTAATCTGAATGTCGTGGGATAGTTTCACGGACTATGCCTTTGGATTTACGAGTCTGTCTGTCAGTCAGTCATTTCGTCTTTCCAGGCATTCATCCACCTCTCTGTCTTCCCATCTTTCTTTAACATGTGATAAACTGTGAGCTTTCAGCTTTATTCTTGTCGGTCTACACCCCTACTCTCTATCTTAATTAAAGGTGGCGTCCTTTCGTAGGTTTCAGAGTTTGTGATTATATCAATCCGTCAGTCCTGTTGTGGTCACCCCTTTAGTTCTACATTCAAATCTCTCTCTGTCTGTAAGCTCAAGGGAGTAGCGGACTGAGCCGTGTTCTCAAAAGATGCTACAAGAAGTTCATTTTTTATCTCTCCGCGGATGAAGAGCAGGAAGTTGGTCCTGATTGCAGGTGTAATGATGTCATGATGTTGTATCCTGTCTCTTCTAGTTCAAGAACTTGGGTTTCTCACAAACATTGCATCTCTCATGGGATGTAAACAGCGACCGCATGTGGTAAAGGTTGTATAGTGTTGATGAGAACAAATCAGTTCTTAATCACTTTTGTGGAAGCGTAAATAGAAACGCACATGTTATTTACATAAAATGGATCCACTTGGCGAACATTTATGTGTTATATATCGTTGTTGATTGATAGTGTCAGTGGAGCGTTGATATATGTTTATATACAATAATGCTGTTTTTGTGTGTTGATATGAGGGGGGGGGGGGGGGGTTGCTGTTAACCGGGTGTTTGTGGAAACACAAATTATTTATTACTTATCTAGTACTGTTAAGGAATGTTGATCAAGAAAAAATGCATATTTGTATATTGGTGAAATAGATACGTGATATTTATTATTGTTGCTTGGTATTGTTAGATCTATGTTTAATGAAACATATGTTATTTATCAATTGTCTGGTACTAGTGGCAATGGAGCATTGGAAAAAGAATTATTATATTTTTGCTGATAACAAATACTAATACTGATAACAAATTGCTGGTAAAGACCACGTTGCCTGCTAGTGACATAAACAAACAAATAGGTACATATGTGTGGATGCTTGCGGACTTGATATTAAGTAAGGTCTCAGTGTTTCCCTTCATGCTGCAGTTTCTCTGACCAGTGTTCGTCTTCGTGGTGTGGCCTGCCTGTTATTCCACAAAGCTAGAACGAATTTCAATTGCCGGTATTGGTTTATCATTATCATCTTAATTATTTGCATCATTATGTTATGCCATTTTATGTCAGACAGAGGTGGCAGCCTACTCCTTAATTCCGTGTAATCCTTTGCAATCTGTCCTATATGAGGGATGGAATCGAGATCAGCATTGTTTATAGGGTTTCTCTTGTACGTCATTGATTGCTCGCTATTTGTTCCATATTTAAGTTCCTGTATGGCGATTCTCTGTTCCGTTATTTTCGCTAACAGCCTACACCCTTCCGGTCATGGATCTGCCCACATCTTGTCACCTCTATGTAAATAATGCACTTTCAAATCTTGGACTTTCTTCTATAGGTAAATAGTCCTTCTTTTGTACTTATGTGTCAAGATGGGTTAAGTATCCTAATTCTTTCGGAAATGACATATATTTAAATCCAGCTATATAGATGGGAGATTCACTGATAGTGAAGCCAAATTCTATTGGCCTAACTACCGCTCTAACTGAAGAGACGCTTAGTTTGAACTCATTCTTCCATGGGCTTCCAGACTGAACATAGCCGCTTGCTGCCTTTTCTTTCTATCTGCTTACCTCCGTTTGAATCACCGATTCATGTGTTGCACTGATTACATGATGTTTTAGTATTGCATATTCTGTGGTTAGTGTCCATCATTCACAGTTCTTAAAGTGTCTGGAGTATCTTTTGTATTTTTATACTTCTGTTATACTGTGTTAATTTGGCTAGAAGAGGATTACTGTCTAGTCCCGGGGCTTACAAGAATTTTATTGATTCTGTAGTGCCATATTTTGAGTCTGCTCATCCCTAAAGTAGTTTGGATGTTCATTAGAGCTGGGGGATACCGCCTAGACCATAGCGAGCCAACATCTCAACACTAAACTACTTTAGAGTTTCGTTTGGTTCATTATGGGAAACTCTAACAAAGGCACGTGACACCAAAATTATGTAACAGTTATTTTTTAGATGTGCCAATCATAACGCCGTCTTCTTTGTCCTACAACTGTTGAGATCATCATCATCATCATCCCGTAACACTAAGTGTCGTTAGGTCACTAGTTTATGCTGACTGTCTAATCAACTCCTTCTACCTTTAGCGGTCAATTGCGGTGGACTTCGTGGTTGCATGCCTGAGGCCTGTCAAGTCAGTCTGGTTCTGGAACCAGGTCTCTCTTGGTCTGCCTCTTCTCCTCCGTCCCTCCTGAGCCCTGCAGTATTTCTTTTTTTTTTTTTTGAGAGGCCGTTAGATCTTATTACATGTTGAGACTAGCTGTATTAAAACAGCATGAGAAGAGGATTTTATGTTGTCTTGTTTGGTTGTGGGGTAATAGACAAGCCACAGGCTCTAGAAGATACTTGATATTATTATAAGTAATTTAACCTCTTGGCGAATGGTTCTAATGTACCAGACCCACATATTTTAGAGACCTATCGGCATTCGATGGGTGATGGTCAACATCACACTGGTCAACTTTACTTTCCATGAGATTAACCAGAACCCTTTATAGGCTGTGTCAAGCTGATGACCACAGTTAAAGCAAACAAAATCCACACAAAACTGATTTAAACCCTACACATTGGGGTCGGCAAAGGAGCATATAGTTGCAGTGGTCCCCACTTAATGTTTCTGTCTTCTTCTTCTGCTTTGAGCGGTTTTCTATACTCAGATCCAACCATCAGGTGGTTTGCCTCTGTGAAGTCGCATGTCGCAGCAGGTCCTTCGTGGTTCCCCATAGCTTGCTCTGCATACTTTGATCATGAGGAAAAGTTCCCTTTCGAAGTTGTAGGTAGAGTGGGCAGGTCTGCAGAATATGCTCAGGTTTTTGTGGTCCTTGTTGACAGGAACACTGTGGGGACTGTACAGTCTTTATTTTATGCAGACGTAGTTGAGTCTGCAGTGTTGTAGAAGGGAAATTGTTGTATGTTGCTTTCTGTTTAGTCTGCTGATGGGGTTTTGTGGATGTTTACTGTTGCTTTGTTCTCTCCACAGTTCCTTGTATTTTCCCTTGATGAGTGTTTTGACTTCTGGTATTGACAATAAATATATGTGTTGCTTCTCATTTTTTTTAAGTCTGTTCACGCATTTCCTGGAATGCTGCGGTGAGCTGGGATCAACTGGAGAACGATTTGTTTTTTGAGAGTCTGTTTAGCTGTTTAACTTTCTCAAGGTTGCATCGTGGATCCCTCTGAGCCGCCTAGAGGACCGGCATGCAGTAACAACGGAAAGCCATTTTGCTGTTTTTAATTTGTCCTTCCCCAAGCACTTTGATTGCACCAGTAATTGCTTGCTGCTCTGCTCTGAAGTTTGTTGAGTGTCTTCCGCAGGCACATTTGTAGACGTGTTCAAGGGTCATTGCATGCAGTACTATGTCACATTCTTCAGCATTTTCGTCTATGCCTGGGATTGTTGTTGTGACTGCACAGTTGGGCTTTAGGTCTATGCAGTATGCCTGGATCATTTCTCACGCTGATGGATCTTTAGAAAGGTGTCACTGCTTTTTTTTTCTGTAGTAAAATTTTTAAATATTTTATGTCTTATATATATATATATATATATATATATATATATATATATATATATATATATATATATGTGTGTGTGTGTGTGTATACAGATGTGTGAGTGTGTGTGTGTGTGTGTGGTTTTATAAGTTGATAGCTTTTAGTAAAGGAATATGTCAATTAAGCAATCATTATAACTGTAACAGGTTACATTGCATTCAACAAATCTCAAACATTACATTGGCTAATAAAATGTACAATTACCTGTAAAAACATCACGGCCTTACAGCAGACAGTGCCCAGAAACCAGGTCTCGGTGACGTCCTGTATCAGCGTTGGCGGCAGGCACATCAAGATGACCATGCAGTCACCCACCGCCAGGTTGACGATGAACACGTTGGTCACTGTCCTCATATTCTGATTCCTCAAGACGGCGAAGCACACCAAGCCATTGCCCACCAGCCCGATGACGAAAGTAAGGAAATAAGGGAAGATAAAAGCCCATTCGTAGTGTTTTGGTGTCACGTGTTGGTAAAGGACGTCTAAGTACGTGAATTCGTCCCAGCAGTACTCATTCCAACACGGAGTACTGCCATTCTTGGGTTCCGCTGTCGTATGTTCTGGAATGACGCTGCTGCCCTGAACGTTGATGGATTTTGTTTCTGGGCTTGCGAATGTTGTATTGACAAACATGGCCGTTTATCTTCGTTGATATTTCGTCGCCAAGGTGGTAAGATGACACTAAGTGTTTATTGTGATGTATGGTTAGTTATAAATTCAAAATTTTATACACTTGATATGTGAATTTCTATCTCAGCATATAAAGGGATATGCAAATGACGTATACATTTATATCATAAGAATTTTTATAGGTTTACCGGTAATATCTTAATTTCTCTCTTAGATAGACAAATCTATATGCAACTTGTAGTCAGTTAATATCTAAAGAAATCGAACAGATATAAAATTGAGATGTGAATAAATATCTAACGAGGTCGAATAGATATAGAACAGATGTGTGCTGTTTAAGCGAGAAAGTCGAACAAAAAATAATGCGTTATTTCTATCCTGAAAAGTTGAATAGAGAAAAAAAAATGATCATGTTAATTTATAACATGATTTGTCGAACAGATGTACAATTGCCATGCAACTTTTTTAATGTTAACGTCAACAGATACCCAGTTACTATATAAATTTATATTCTTGCATGTATATTACATCTTTGACTTGTTCTGGCTAGCTGGTTTGACAAATCCAGTAATTCACTCAATAAGTTTTGACCAAATTTGACATTGTAATTGAGTATGGCTTCAACAAACTTAGTCTGTGTTAGTTTCAGGCATGACTACAGGCAATAATTGGATAGCTTGCGCCAGATCAGCAATCCATGTGTACGTGTGTAAGTATATGATGCCATGGTAATGTATATTAATCATCCCTCAACATTTCTCTTTGGGTCATTCTTGAGTTCATATCCTGAGCACGTGTATGTAAGATCTGCCATCCAAATGTTCTTGATATTATTCTACAGTTGTTGTTCTGATAAGATATGATACATCGCCATTCATTTTTGTTTAAGTGGTTCTAGAATTTGTAACTGAGTTAAGAATCTTGATTAAAAAAAAACAAAAACAATCCAGGTTTATTAAAGATTATTCTAGAACGTATACCAAGAAATTCGGCGTTTGTGGCTCAGGCGTTGCAAAAGTGCTTCGTAATGCCGGGGTGACATGTTCGATCCCAGCTGCGGACGATTATCTTGCGTTAGGCATTCGGCAGTGGTACCAAGAGCTGACCGTTCAGTAGCAATGGCAAACTGCTAAACATAAATTTGCCTTGAAAATCCACAACAGAATAACCAGAACAAGTTTCTATGATAAACTATGGAAACGTGTTCAAGATGATTCTAGATTCACATTGTCTGCTTGTTTCTCTATTATCCTGCGAATGTACAAATTCTTGTTGAAGACAATACTTGGTATTCATTCAGGAAAGCGGCACCTGCAGTCCAACCCACGAGCACTGGTTATCTGTCGTGAGACATACAACAAGTTTAACAGTTGATTACGTCTATAGACTCTCCCAGTCTAACTCATTTATATTTGGTAATTATTACACCCCGTTTTGATTTCGTTTTTCGAGTAAAGATAATTTAAAATTACAGAACGTTCACAATATTTCACATGTTGACATTCAACCCTTTGGAAAACTAAATAATTTGTTCCTCGCTCTTATCTTCTTCTTCTTAGTCCACCAGCTGTAAACTCTATTCTGGTTGTTCGTCCACTTTTGGACTGCAGTCCTGTTCTAGAACCATAGTGTTGAGTGTGCATCCGTTTTACAGATCTGACTCATTTGTATGCAGACTGTTGGTTCCTTGCCTCTCAGGCAGATGCACTTCGACTTCAAAGGAAGCTCCCAGTTAGTCGACTCTTACGCTCTTACGACATGCTTTGTGGTAGGCAGTGGATCTATTCTTGTTTGCCTAGAATAGGGCCCCGGAACCCACACAGAGTCAACTCAATTTTTGGGATAGCTGAAATAGCATGTAAATATAAAGTCTGCTAGTCTGGTAGTCTTAGTTTCAGCTTCGTATCAAACGGGTCACCCCCATCTTTGCTCCGCTCCTGTGCCAACGAAAAACACAGAATGTTATCACAGTCCCTTGTGGAAAGATTAACAGACTGCTGTCTCAGCATATCTAGCATACACACGCACTAAAACATACGGTAGCCATCCGAAGTGTTAACACAAATAGTCCGACATTAGAAATGCAGTGCAGTTCATCATTGATGGTAGCAGAAGTCACCAACAAATCAACAGTTGCCCACGCGATCAATTTTAATCACATACAAGCACCATCAACATTGCGACGACAGTCATCGCGCTATTTTCTGAATTTACAATTCTAACCACCACGTAGGTCACAGTCGAAAAATCATTCAAAATGAAATCCGCAGCTCACAGTGTCATGCCATGCATTCAGCTCAAAAGCTGGGCGAAACTATATCCAGTCTACAAATGGAGCAAAAACGCATCGGCCACCATCCGGCAGAAGCAAAAAAAAAAAATTGCCTCGGCTCCAAACAGTGCACCTGCCTAGCGTCCTTTTTGACCGGAAGCTCTTCCACACAAAAAAAGTAACCTGCATTGACAGGTTTTCCTAGATGTAGTTGACAGGAGCAGACATGATACAGACACTATACCATATTAAATGGAACCTGTTGATGGACGTTAGGCACGGTCACTGTTGTGAGTGGTGGCAAATTTAATGCGTGTGTATGTGTGTATGCTAGTGCATATGCTGAGATAGCAGTCTGTCAATCACACAATCTTTCCAGAAGGGTCTGTAATTAGCATTCTGTGTGTTTTTCACAGTCTGCAACTATGGGGTGACCCGTTTGCCATGAAGTTGAAACAAACATTACCAGATTACTATACCATTTAACATTTTATTTTTAAAACTATGAATCGTTGCTGGCAATCAAGCCAGCTAGCAGGCAAACCTTTATGAGGAAGAAAATATACTTCGGCTTCAACTTCAGCTAAGGTAGAGAATATTCCAAGGCAAATACGGCTATTACATTTTTATAGACCAATCAGTTGTCGGTAGATGATGTCATTAACATCACGCTGCCCCTCCACCCCCCCCCCCCACTTTTTTATTTCTAAATGTACTACTGTTGTAAGAGTTTGAGATGTTAGACCTTCATATATTCTATGCCACGATATATGAGGTCAGGTGGCCAGTGTTTTCTCCGTCGCCTAATCTAGAAAATGTTCAGTGGGGAAATACAATTTGGCAGTGTGGCTGAGAGTCAGGAGCGCTGACCGACATAAAACATTAGGAGGGCTAAGGCATTTTCCACAAATTCTGAGTGGCAAGGGGACTCAAGTGACCGCAGGCTTGTTAAAATCCGAATTTATTATTATTATTATTATTATTATTATTATTATTATTATTATTATTATTATTATTATTATTATTATTACTACTACTATTATTATTATTAATATTATTACTATTACTATTATTATTATTATTATTATTATTATTATTATTATTATTATTATTGTGTGATTAATGGCAAATAAAAAGAATAATATATATGAAATCAAAATAATAAGAAATGTAAAAAAAAAAAAAAAAACAACAACAACAACAACACTGCAAAATCAGCTTCTTTACTTATTGTTGGTAGGGGGCAATGAAGAGGGAAAGGGGGCACTTGTCTATCTTGCACAGTTTTAAATGTTTTTAGGGGTGCTTCGCTCACCCCTCAAATTATTTGATGACGGGGCGCACCTCAAAGTGTTTCTTTAAGGGTTAGTGGTGCCTCAAAGTTCGGTCATATTCCCACCCCCTGCTGATACTCACCTAAACACGTTTTGAAAGGTGTCTCAGTAGCCAGGTGTTTTATCCACACCTTGGCATATGTTTACCATAATGAGGTTTGGGTTTTTAACAAAGGATCAGCATCAGGGCACACGGGCAGTAACCCAGAATTGCTCTGTTCTTTTTCTAACTCGGGTCTGGGTCCGAAAAAGCTCAGCACAGTACACATGCTCTGTAGCAGCGGAGAGGACCCTGAAATACTTTGCGTAGATTTTAACTGCAGCGCCGTTAGGCCACTCTTTTCAATTTTCAACTACCAAGGGATTTTTTTTTTACTTGCGCAACAATGCAAACGGGTATCCAATCTCGCTACCCAAAGACCAGGTGGAATTACTAGAAGTCCAAGTCCACGTGTAAAAATCTTAACCCTTACCCCTGATTGAACCCAGAACCTCCAGCACTCGAGGGGGACACCATGCCTCGAGACCACGTAGCCCCGTTACATAATTCTTACAGCGTATTCAAACTAGCGTTTTCTGCAGTGTTTGTTGTAACATTTTTGTTTGCAGTAAATAACGACAACTGACGAAAGCCACACTTTTAACTAATAGAAATGCTAGAGCATAAAATGCTAGAGATAAAGAACTAGCAAAGATAAAAGGAGAAAATGAAACTGTTGTAATGCTATGGTTGTAAAAATGTATAAAAATCGTGCAAAATAAAATTCCTTGAATGTAGAGGGTTTAAACAATGTTTGGCAGTTAGCAAAGGCAGGTATAAAAACCAAATGTTATGACCTCTGTTGCTCTTGATTGTCTTTTGTCCGTAATTGTGATGCATTGTGCTGGCAATCTTCCGCTCACCTATCACAAGATTTTTGTGTGGGAGAGGGGCGGGAGAGGGAGACATTCTTTACTCTGAACCCATTTGCAGCCGATAATTGTGAAAAACATTACTTGAATTTTCCCAATTTCTATGAACACATATTGTCTCAGTGTCCACCTGTTCTGTAAACAATTATAGAGTTTAATGTGATGAAGACAGCGCTTGGCTAATTTTGTGAAAACACAAGTCACAAAATCAGCAAGTCACACATTCAACAGACTGGAAAAGGTACAAAATGAAACAATGCGCATCTTACTTGGCTGTACCAAAGACACATAATGTAGAGTAATGAGATACCTACTGAATGGTCCAGATATAAGCAGCAGGTTTAAAATGTACTGGCACCCAGATGGATTACAATTTCTTCGGCCAGTAGCAATCACCAACCTTTTGGGATCGTCAGATTCGAAATAATTAGAACCATTTTTCTTTTCGATGAGTGGTTCAATATCATCAACCCATATGTACTCTA